TCTTTATGCTTCTTCATTACATTCTGGCTCAAAAACTCAGCTACAAATGCACTATTTGCACAAAATGGAAGCATCTCCTGTGAACATGATCAGTGCTGGATGAATGAACAGCTCATGGCAGTTGAAGAACAGAGTTTGACAACCATGTCAGAAGCCACGTACCAACACAAAAATGCTTCTTAATGATTCACTAGGTCATATCAATAAGTTTCCAGAACTTCTAAGAGGAAACTACCTCTCCTGTTTTACAAGCAGTAGTATTTACAGTGCAATCAGCTCTTATGCTGATAATGGTTCTGGCAAACTTTCAACTTCTCTCTATTCCAGCCCGGTCTGTGGCTCTGGGGATCCAGCAGCCTGCATTCCCTGAGGGCATTCTAGGAACATGCACTACACTGAAGGCAGCTGCTCTTACAATTCAGGAATTTTCTCCACCTGGTCACTACCTCTCCCGAGTCTTACTCTTCCATCCACACCTGAGTGACATTTCAGCTCCCCCAGCCTTCAGCAGCCCAGGGGGCTCCTCCCCAGAGCCATTCCTGCAGAGGCACCACAACAGAGAAACTTCACTTCCCCTCCTGGCCTCACCCTTTCGCTGAAACTACAAAGGAAGTTGAAGAGCTGTACAAAGATACTTATTCTAAAAGAACTAAAACACTTGGCAACACGACTAACATAGAAAAAGATGCCTAACATATCTCCAATAAAAATCCCAAGTTACAGAAGGCTCACAGTCACCATCAGAAGGGTGCTCCAAAAATTTTCTCTAACATCAGATGAGTATAGCTATAAATATCCAGACGTAATCTTTTAGAGGGATATGTAAAAAACCAATGTTTTTTGGTGGGTTGTAAGTTTTAGTTCAGGTTTTGAGTCCCTGCTACCAACCTCAAACCTCCAGAAAGCAGCTAATTGGGCTGATCTGATTTGGCAGCAGCCAAAGAAAAATTCCCTTAGAAGGAAGTAAAAACTAATTTCCACTGTGATTTGCATAAGTTTGTCAAGAGCTGTTGAGGGAGGCCCCGGTACACACTGCAAATGAATCAGCAGGGAACATCACACCATCAATACAGGAAGTTTCAGAATGGAATTCCCCTTCTAGCAAATTGCTTAAAGAAAGCCATACTGCTTCTCTCCTGTGAGACCCTGGGCTCTGGCCTGCCCTGACTCACAGTTGCTGTGAGTTCCCCTCTGCATTTTGGGATAACTTTGACTGGTAAGAGGCTCCTCATTCACAAACACACCCAATCCTGCTGTTAAAGCTCGAGCACTTATCCAAGGTAAACTTCACTGCCAGAGTCACTTATCAGCCCAAGCTCACAATGGGCCATTTTCCATAGTGTCTGAAAAACTGTGGAGAGGGCTGGAATAGGAACAGGCTCTCCTACAGGGACCCTGGGCATGGCTTTCACACTCCACTGCCATCCCCATTTCCTCGTTTGCCCTGGGCTCTGCCCCAGCTGCACAGCCAACTGTGCCCCATCTTTTCACAGTCCTGTTCTCGGAACTGTCAACCAGGGCTTGGAGAAAAACCACACCTGCAAACCAACCTCCGTGCAGCACTTTCACCTCAGACAAACCTACCACAACACATGTAGAGGCTCTGCCTGCACCCAGGATTATTTTTTATAAAATCTGCACACAAACGTACACAGCAAAGGAAGTGGCTTCTGCAACAGCTGCAACAGAAAGAGCTCTCAGAGCCCAATTCTGAACCCTGTGCATTAAATTAAAGAGAGTCCAGGACCACCCCAAGTAGAGGTGGGGAGCAGCTGGGGTTGGGGTGGGAGCAAAACCCAGGATGAAAGTTGGGACACCACACCAACAAATATCCAGCCCTGAGATTCTGGGTGCTCTGGTCACAGCGTCTGACAGGACCTGGGGCAGCAGCACCAGGACACTCAAGATGCTGAGGATGAGCCACAGCCTTGCTTTGGTGACACCTTCAACACTTCATTCTCTACATTGTACAGAAATTCACCAAACTACAAGAGTCACAATTTGGAGACTGGGCTCCAACACAGGAGACAGCTCTGTATTACAAAGTCTTCTCTAATTAACCCTATAATTATTTATTGAGCAACTTCCTGACACGGAAACTTACACAAAGACACTGATTAAGAGGACAATGTATCTTCAGTTATCCCCTCAGCGCTGGAGCACAAGAGGAAAGGTGTGTTCGCAGGAAGCTCGGCTGCCCTGTCACTGCCCCGTGACCGCTGGCTCCGGGCGGGCAGAGCCGTGCCAGGACCAGCCCGCACTGGCAAACGTGCTGCTCGTCCCCGTGAGAGCCGTGCGTGCTGGCGAGGCACCTCGGAAAGTATTACCAGCCCCCGTCCGGCACCCAGCGGTGCCTGCTTTGAGCGAGGAACCCGGAGCCTTCCCCCGTGCGCCTGGCACAGCTCAAACGAGCGGTCACACAACCCAGCCCCGCACGCACCTCATGGCCACGTTGCTGCCATCGATGACGATGGGCTTCAGGTTGTTGCTCTCGGTCTCCTCGGGGCCGGGCGCGGGGGATTTGTTACCGGTGCCCCCCCGGGGGACCAGCGGGGCCTCGCCGGGCTCGGGCGGGGCTTCGGAGCCGTCCCGCTCGGCCGGGCCGTGCTTCACCAGCTCCCCCAGCACCGTGTTGGTGTCGGCGCCCAGGCCCAGCTTCTGCAGCACGACGCGGATCTCCTCCGAGGAGTAGCCGAGCTTGCGGAAGAAATCCACCTTCAGCTGCAGCTCGGGGCCGTCCCCGGGCCCCTCGGGGCTCTCCCTGCCGCTCATCCCCGCCGCGGGCCGGGCCGCGCCCGGCAGCGCCTCAGGCCAGCCCGGGGCGACGCTGCCCGCGCTCATGGCTCCCGGCGGGGCACCCGCGGCCTCCGCTCGCCGTCCGGACCTGCGGGGCGACAGCGGCGTCAGCAGCGGCCCCGCCACCTCCGCTCCCCTCCCGGCCCGGCCGAGCCCCCGCCCCGGAGCCGCC